ATGTAGTTCAGGCTGGCCTTGAGCTCATGATGACTCCTCCTGTCTCAGCCTCCCAAGTGCTAGGATTTTGGTGTGTGCTACCACGCCCAGCTTGGAACGTCATTTCTTTTTTTTGGAATTTCATTTCTTAAGAGGATACAGGACCTTCACTTGTGCCATTACCATCTTGCTTTTCACCTGGAAATCATTTCTGTTTCTTCTCTTTCCACAGCAGTATTTCTCATCCTTTAAGATTCTTTCATAGTCCAACAAACTCCACCAGGCTGTCTTTACTCAGGTCTCCTTTTCTGAGCTTATGCATTTCATACATTCAGCTAATGCAACTTTGCTAATGGTGGCCTACCAAGTTATTTATTTATTTATTTGCTTATTTATGGTTTTTTGAGGGGGCCTGCCCATTAGCTCAGTTGCTTAAGTGCCTGCTTATGAAAGCAGCGAGGCTCAAGTTGCACTGGTTCGAACCCAGATACTCTGCCAAACCAGAAATGCCCTGAAGGCACGTTCAGGTCTCCCCCCCCCCCAAAAAAAAATCCTTTATGGTTTTTTGAGACAGGGTCTCTCTACATATTCGAGGCTGGTCTGGAATTCATGGTGCTCCCGCTGCCTCAGTGTCCTTAAAACTGGGATAACAGGTATGTAACACCATGCCTGGCCCATAGTTTATTATTGCTTGTTGTTATTTATGCATTAAAATATTTCTCTGCTAAGCCAAGAGAACAGTAAATTTTCCCAATCAGTGCTTTTATATTATTATTGGTTTTTTTTCCCCCTCAGTCAATGTTTAACAGCTATTTGCTAATCCACTGACTGTGGGATGTGAAGTAAATGTCGCAGGAAAATTATTATGGAAACTAAGCCAGCAGAGAAGAGTAGAAGAACTATCCTAGGAGTTCATGTTTCTTGTGGAATTTATTATTTTTTATTCATAGAGAATTATACGCATCTCATTTAATTTTCCCCGTAGCTGTTGGAAGGAGGGTCTCAGGTTATAATCCTAATTTTTTTCTTTTTTGGATGAGGAAATGGAGCTAGAAGATAATAAATACCCTATTTGCCCTAGTGAGTGCTTCTGGTGGGGCCAGGATTTGAACCTCAGCAGCCCAATTCCAGGTAGTCAACAGCACCACCATGCCAGATTTTAACCAAAGTTGGCAGAGATACATAAAAAATAAAAGTCAATAAATAACAGTCTCTAGACAGTGATAGGGGAAGGATCTACCCAAGTCAACTTAGATTTATGCCTAGCCACCGGCTAAGGTTGCTCTTGAAACAATGAAGATTTATTAGCCTGTTTATTTTCAGAAGTTTTAATGAATAGACAAGCCCAAGGCTGAACAGAAAGGGTAATTATGTCAGACACAGGATGTATCAGACTCTTCCATTCTAAACATCTCAGCTGCAAACCAGATCTTAAAGAGTGCGAGGGTCATAGAAAGAGCCATTAGAGCATTCTCAAAGTGATTCTACAAAACGATTTTACATGGGTGTGCTCTGTTAGGCAGTGGGATGAAGTGCTTGGGAGCAAAGACCAGAGCAAGGCACTAATGGAGCAAGTCCTCGCTAGATCAAAGAGGAAAGACTCAGCGGCATGTGAGGGGAGGGCTGGGCCACGCCTGGGCCTCTTTACAGGAAAACGGGAGTCACCTCGAAAATATGAATCATGTTTCTACTAGCCCCGCAGAGGCTCTTCTCATAGGTGCTAAGGTGCCATTTCTATTTTCCTGGGAAGCAGAGGAAAGACAAGCCTGAACTACGGAGAAATAGTACAGCAGATAGTTTCTTTCTTTTCTTCCTCCTCGTCTCGTCTCGTCTCTTCTCTTCTCTTCATTTCTTTTCTCTTTCAATCTCTCTTTAGTTTTTATTTTTTTCCATAATTTTATTCAGTCAATCTCTCTTTAGAAATGAGAGAATTTAAAGAGATTTCTAGGGGCCAGGGAGATAGCTCAGTGGAATAAGTGCTTGCCTGGCAAGTGTAAGGTCCTAAGTTCGATCCTGGTAAAATAAATAAATAAATAAATAAATAAATAAATAGATTTGTTCATCCTAATTTATTGCTCTTTCCTGTCTTTTAAAGTTGGACCATCAAGATGTTCCTTAATTTTAGGAAACATTGTAAAAATGTGGTTTTCCCCCTCTAGGAACACAAGGGTAGTTGGTAAGAAACACTGCTGAAAGTTACAATGTTCTTTAGATACTTAGAAATGTAATACAGCCTTCCATTGTTTAGAATGGTATTTTCTAAAAATCTTGCTTTAGTTAATAAATACTTACATAATGACTACTTATCTTGTTTTTTTAATGTAATTATTTTGATTGCTTTTACAACATTTGACAAGTAAAAATTATGTAAATTTTTCTCATGTATGATGCATTGTTTTGAAATATGTCCACATTGTGGGATAGCTACATTGATCAAATAAATATGTAAATAGTTTCCTAATAATTTAAATCAACTGAATTGCCTCTTTTGGCAGCCTGAATTGAAAATATTAATGTGGGAAAAAAATCTATTATTTTGAAAGTTTCTGTACTTTTATTTCTTTTTGTTTCAAACATATTTTATAAACTTGGACTATATGATTTAGGTCAAAATCATACTCTGGACTATGCATTGGGTGCGGGGCGCTAGCTCTGTGGGTGAGGCCAAGACTGTGCTTCTCTTCTGTAGTACAGGAATGAGAGTGGGTCATTGTCACTCCCTTCAGGGAAATTCATAGAATGAATTATATGATTCAAAGAAATCACCCAACTTTTAAATATGATTTAGTATGCATTAATATTTTTATGTATAGATTTCATTATAATGAATGAGTTGCAATGACTGTGAATGTGTCAGATCACAGAGATCCCTCAGTATGTGTTTGATAAGTGAATTATATAATTAATGTGAAATTCAGAATAAGTGAGTAGTTTATCTTCCTTGATTTCTCTCTCTCTCTCTCTCTCTCTCTCT